CATTATTTGTCATTTCTTGTAATTAATTGCAAAATTTACTAGCAATTTCTGAGTGAAAACGATTTCACTCAACTTTTTTTTTTTACTGTAGGTAAAACATGTTTAATGCATATAGGCCTACAATGCAAATACAAATACTCAGATTACAGAGTTTCAATAAAGTACAGACACACATACATAAAGACACAAGATAAAGTGTCATTTTAACTCCCACACACGCACCCACACCTCAGGACTAAGACTCTGTGTCAATACATATCCCCAGTTCATTAAACAATGACATGTGTCAGAGGAACAGTTCATTTGCAGTAAATGTCATTCTCTAGTGGCTAGTTTAATAGTCAACACACACACATATATACGGTGAGCTGACAAGTAGCTCAACAAGAATAAAGGAGAATCTCAAATGCCATCAGGTGCTGCTGTACAACCTCAGTAAGCCAATCGAGAGAGCAAGAGATGAGGGGAGCGGGTGAGGAGAGAAAAAAGAGATTTGGAGAAGAGGAGGGGTGAGGGCATGAGAGGGTGGAAAGGATATGAAAAGGAAAGGATGTAGCCTTTGTCATAAAGCTGACAGCACACTTCATTGCAAGACAGAACTACATTATATTTTCCTCAAGTCATTATAATCTGTCCTTCTCTTCCTGCTAGCCCTCTATTTCTCCCCTTCTCACACACTCTAGCCCACCTTTCCCTCCCACCACTCCTCAGACAGAACATCTGTGTGTGCGAGAGAGATCATTGAGACACACATCTGGCTAAAGTGGTTTCCTGTTGATCAGACATAAAAGTGATTACATCAGTAATTAAAAAACTCAAAAAAGACTCTTTTGAGGGTAAGTAACTACCTAGCAACCATCAATAACAACCTAGTAAAGACTTGGCAATGTGCTAACAAGACACTTTAGCAACTGAATAGGAGGAGTCACTCAGTATTTTTTTTTTTTTCATAAAAGTGCAGTAATATAGGTATTATATATGTTACTACTACAAGTAATATTCATTAAATATAGGTATATTCGATTTTTTTTAAGGAATCAATTATTTTATTCAGCAAGGAAGCATTAAATTGATAACGTAAAAAAAGTAACAGTAAAGACATTTATAAGTAAAATATCAGTTACATATTTATATATTATAAATCTATTTACCTAAGAATCTTGAAAAAAGCATCACAATTTCCACAAAAATTTGAAGCAGCACAACTGTTTTCAATATTGATAAAAATAAGAAATGTTTCTTGAGCAGTAAATCAGCATATTTCTTATCACATATTCTGAAGTATCATGTGACACTGGAGACTGGAGTAATGATGCTGAAAATTCAACGTTTGCCGTCACACCAATGAATTACATTTAAAATATATTATAATAAAAAAAAAGTTATTTTAAACTGTAATAATATTTGACAGTGTTACAATTTTTTATCTATTTTTGATCAAATAAATGCAGCCTTGGTGACGTTCTTTCAACGTTGGTTCGTTCAAAAACATGGCATTTTATTTCTGCCATTTTATTAATACAATAATTAATTCAAAGCAGCAAGTGTTTTTCTGGCAGTAAGTGGTTTCAGGCAGGTTTGTAGTCTACAGTAAA